AGAGTACATCTCTGCAATCTGCCAACTACCATACGCTATATGCAGCCTTCTTATTTTCGTTCGGAAAGTATATTATGGCAGCAAAACGCGAGCAATTGGGCTGAACCAAAATTGAAATTCTGTAACATCCCCTTTACGCATAAACATGAGATGCGGACACCACAAACAATGATGAAAGGCGTTTTCATTGACACGCGACAAGGTCAATCCAATCAAAGCATTGTTGAAAATCATGTGTCAACCCTTCTATTACCTTCTAACTTTAATACAAGTATAACTTTTCAGCTCACCTGCATTGCCAGGAGATTATGTGGCGGTGGTGGAGCACCGGCACCATTTGGAGGAAACGGTTGCGGCGGTGGCGGCATCGACTGCGGAGGGGGTCCGCCTGCACCGGGAGGTCGCCCCGGAAATCGGGCATCCATACCAAATCCACCAACAATAGGTGATCGCCCTGTTGAGGACACCGATGAGCTCCGCGCTGAGGATTCCCTCATCTGAACTGATTCGTATATCACGCGAGAGGAGATATGTGAAAAGTGATAGAATATTGAGAGCTTTCGCTAGGATGACCATTCCTCTGTCTCACAGTGCGAAATGTTTGAGATATGACAACATCACGCACTGAACATTGCTGAACTCAGCAAATTACTTTTCAGGCACTTAGCTTTAGCAGCAATGCGGAACGTAGAGAACGAATGCACACCGTGTCCACGTTCAAATGCCGATATCTTTAGAAAAGCAAAACTGAGAGATGACTCGCTCTATTTGCAACCTGCTTCACATCAGATGCTGTTAAAATAAAGTATGTCACCTAACATAGGCTCTAGATAACCCTGAAATTGAAATTGCACAACTGTTTGTATTTTGAATTCAACAAGTCGCAGTTCTTGAAAATGAGCAAGACACTAAGCTTACTTGTGTATGGCACGCCACTAAGATTACTAGTAGATGAATGAGTACGAATCGAAATTAATACATGACGGAGGACAATCATCACAGACTTACACTTGCAAAAAATTAAAGAAGCATCCAAAACACGTAAAATTCAGCCAAACAAAAGTAATGAGAGCATCATAAAGAACTGCCTAAGTCTATAGAAAAGTTAATAATGTATATATTATCAATGAAGAGTTCACATTTAAATTAAAGCTAAAAAAGGGCGTTTAGCTTTCGCGATAGAAAGAATAAGGTCTTTCTAACGATCAACCATCTTATGAAATGTAGAATGGGCGCTAAAGTTTTATTACATTTTTACTATCAGCATTTGCATTCTTACTTCGGCAACAGCAACTTCAATTAAATTAGCTGCAAAATTGACGAGATCAATAGAGGCATTCAAAAACAAAGATGGAAAAATAATCAACTACTTCAACATTCCTCTGCCGGGTATATGCAGCAAACCTAGACAGTCCTCAATTTAAGAAAGTTCAAATTGGGCTTTTGGAAAAGTATAACTTCAGAATAAGAAGATCTAACAAAGCGAGGAAACTGCAGGCATAAAATTGGAAAAGATATATAAAAGTCCCAATTTTCATGTCACAGAACCACCTTAGCAATTCTTTTTTTGGGAATTAGATTATTGAAAAACTTCATAAATCGTCAAACTGGTAGGCCAAAACAATTAAAAAGTATATGTTACAAGCGGAAATTATAGAATAAGCGACTGAAATAAGTTTTTGACCAAAAACTTCACATTGCCAACTCACCACTTAGTCGAAACTTCAGTAACTGAATCAATTCGACGGTGCGAGAATATAGTAGTAACCGTGTGGACCTAGTAATCGTTCACATCGATTACTCAAAACTGGAGTCTTCTAGAATGTCCCACTCAATATAAGGCGATTGTGAAAGCAAAGATATTGCCCGGCGAGCAAAGGATATTGGAAAGCAACGCACGCAGCGCCGTCAACGGAACTCCCCTCAGGCGGCGCGGCTGGCATAATTCCGATTGGCACTGGGCCACGTTTTTTGCCACAGAGCGTGTAATGTGTAGCACGTGATTCATTTGTATCAGTGAACAATGAACGTTTACGAGGCGAAGCGTTTGTTCAAAGTACGCAAAGAAAGATGCATGTGGTGAAACAGTCTAGCAGAGCATTTTCACAGGCCAAAGATCGCTGGGTAACTTTTAGGTTACAGAAATACAGAGAACAGAAAGAAAAAAAAAGAAACAGATTTTCGGAAATGGAAAGGTGTAATCTATCGCGTGATACCCAACCTGTACAAAAACACTTGTTTTGCGGATCGTGATTATTCACAGAATAAAGTTATAACAAGGGGAATGACATATATTTTTTCGTCTAACAAAAAAACCAGACGTCAAAATTTCTGATATCTCGAACTGCTAAGAGATGGTCCTTTATATTCATTACGTTATTATTTTAAGGTAAAGAGTACTGGCAAGATCAACATTTCCGCTAAACTGAGCTAATGCTCATGTTATGTATTCCAGATACTTTGGATGACAATTGATTATTAACAAATTTGAGATCTTGGTAAATTTTAGCTTAATTTGCGTAAACTCAGAAAAGGTCAGTTCTGCTATACACCTAAAAAGCAGAAATTAGGATAGAATGTTGATCCCCGTCCCGCAATACTGATAAAGCAGTGATGAGCTTCAGGCGCAAGCCCACGATTAAAAAAACTTGAGAATGAATTAAGGAAGGATTTCATCCTGTAGATAGCTGATAAAGAAGCAAAAGGAAAGTCTCAAATGCTTCTGTATTTGGAGAAGCCAAACAAATCCAGAGCAGCGTACTTCGCAAAGATTCCAGTGCAGGCACTCAAAGGATGACCACTCTTAATTTTACGTGAAAATAATCTTAAATGAACCATATCGTTGAGAATAATGAGTGATATGAGCTAAATATTTAGGAGCAGATTTTTGAGCAGAAAAAACCTCTTCCTTGTAAAAATCTTCGCTAGCATGGGTGGCTGCGCTCTTTACTAGGTTACTGTACAAAGGATTCGTCTAACATCACACCTTTCTCAAAAAATCTATTTTTGTTCGCACTGCGAACCTCCACTTCTTGATTCTTGACAAAACTCGTATTAAAGCGAAAACCTCTGAATGAAAACAAAACTAATCTATCATTCATCGCAAGTTCTTGTGCATATTCTCACTAAATTCGTACAAACCAGATACCATACGTGCTGCCTCTGTTCCAAAAAACCCTCATATGGAAATACTAATGCACAACAGGTATGAGGCATCTTGAAAAAGTTGTGTAGGCACGGAAAAGGTACATGAATGCTTAAACAATGAAATGTTGGCGTTTGGTAGTGGTGAATGAATAAACAACTTCAATGATTTGAAATTTGACTTGACGTTCATGTTGCCCAGTAAAGAATAACACAGAAATGACGACCTTACAATTTATTGCTAGAGAAAATGCGAATTTTTTTAAAAATGTAGGATTCAATGAACCTGTTGCACCAGGATGAATTAGACATAACGGAAAACCTGCTTTCTCAAGCTCATGAAAAAAGGAAAATCTTTTTATGATAAGAATTTAATGATTCACACTCGCAGTCCTATCGAATTTGTGTCGGCTGACAGCTGCTCCTATGGGAAGTGCTTAATAAAGCCAGGAACTGACCGCTGCTGGGATTCAACATTAGTTTTTTTAGGTTGCATGATAATCACAACTAAAATACCTCTCCTGACAACGTTCATGAAAAAGCTATAGAAACCATCCTCACACCAAATTTTAAAATAGCAAAATTGCGCTTACGTTACCTTTTATTTACGGTTGTCTTTTCTTCAGCTAAGAGATATGGGGCGCTTCTTACATATATATGCGGTATGGACCGCACGAACAAAGGATTAATCAGTCATAGTACCGCGATGAAGTAATGATCCTCTCTCTTGCCCCTTTATGTACCTCCATACCT